AAAATAGTTTAATCACGGGAAACCGGATAAATCACTTATCCGGCACTTCGAGCCGAATAACTACCGCTACCTACAAGTTAGCTAATAATATTGGGAATCAAATTTGATTTGTGATTTGGGGCTCCTGCGGAGCCCCAAATCAACCAATCAAATTTGATTTTCCCAATATAATAGTTATTCGGCACTTCGTGCCGAATAACTATTAATTATTTTGTTGATATAAAAATCAAAGAACAGTTAAAAGGTTCATTCAATATGTTTATTAAAGAATAATTAGGTCTCCTTAACCGTTAATATAAAATAACTTTTTCAAAAATTCATAAATCTCGAAGTCAAAAATATAAAAAAAATATTCTAATCTCCTTTTTTCTTTTTTTTTTTTTTCCTTACTTTATACTAATTAAACTATTTGACTAAGTATTCTATTCAAGATGACAGTTTTCTTGGTATTCTCCGCTAGGAATGGAATTTTTTTTTGTGGCACAGTAAGTGCGACTATACCCTCCACCACAATTTATCAAATAAAAAAAAAAATTAGCAAAGCCGAAAGAGGATCATTATCAACAAAAGAATAATTTTAGAAACATCGAAAATGAAAATGGAATAATCGAACCCAAAATTAGTAAATAAATAAAATAACGATAATGGTTAATAAAAAATTTAAGAATTAAAACCCACGATTATAAAAAAAAATAAAATTCGTGGATATAAAAAAGATAATTAACTGAAAAATTTAAAAAATCAAAAATAATTTAAAAAATTTTTTATTTAAAATAAAATAAATTTATTAATTCGATTTTATTAGAATCGATTCCAATCCCTAGCTGAAGTTTCCATTCGAAGTGCAACTTACTGTGCCGCTGCGGCAAATCAATTCTTTTTTCAAGCAAAAAAAAAACTTAAACAACCCTTATTCCTTGAGGTAGATTGTTAGTGTTAGTATTAGTGTTAGTGTTAGTGTTAGTGTTAGTGTTAGTGTTAGTGTTAGTTAGTGTTAGTGTTAGTGTTAATGTTAGTGTTAGTGTTAGGTTAGTGTTAGTGAATATCAGTGTTAGTGTTAGTGAATGTCAGTGTTAGTGTAAGGTATATAATAATGGCCGGTCGGCGTTACACGAATCGCCTAAAAAGTATATTAAATTTTTTTTTTTTTTTTGTGTTTGTGTTTGTGTGATAATGAATTACTATTTGGGGGCTTGTCAATAAAAAAGAGGGAAATCTAAATTTTAATAAATATTTTTTTATTGGACCACTTGACTGATCACAGTCAAGTGCTTAAAATTAGTTTAGGAACTAAAATGAAAAATTTAGATTTCCTCTCTATTGACGAGCTCCCATTTAATGTTTTGGTCATTATAAGTTCATTGTTATTAAAAGCGAAATTTTTTTTTAAAAAAAGTTTTGGCAACACTCACCCCATTGCATTAATATCTTTTATACTATCTAATGGGACTAATAGGTTTTGTACCTGAATACATTATTAGTAGTCTCTCGGCCATTGCAATTATGGGAGATTCGCCCTATGGTCTCTGCGAAAAGATAATTTGGTTCTTTCGATGTTTTGGGTGTCCCTTTGATGGGCTGTTTTACTCCTTCAACGTAAGAGGTGGAAAAAAATCTTGCTGTTTATATTGGCTTTCAGCCAATTATTTTAAGTTAGAAAATAACGATGGAACATACCGTCATCCAAAATACAGACCTTTTGGATTTTATGCAATGAAACTGAAAGATAAAGAAGATATAAAGGAATACGTAAAACAATGCACAGCAAGATTACCCGTGCTAGAAAGATTTTCTTTATTGATTACATCATACTACATAATAGTTGGTGTAAAAGAAGGAATTTCCATGATAAAAGGAACAATCGTTTGTAAGGATTGGGCATATTTGCCTTTATTATTTTCCTGGACCCTTTTTTCAATTTGGAAAAGAGGAATATACGGGATTCAAGTAGTTAAAGATCCTAAAGAAGTTTTTAAAAAAAATATAGAAATTATTGTGAATGACAATCCTATAAATAAATCATTTCGACTTACGATAACAGCTTTAATATCAATAGTTGTTCCTTGGGTGACAGTACTTATCGTCTACCTTACACCCCCAGTTGGATATTTTTGTCGCAGCAAATATGTAACAGTAATCAGCTCCATCTGGTCATTTAACAGTGCTTTGGCTTTTTTTTACCATATGAAAGGAGAATGTGATTTAATCATGTCTGAGGAAAGTGATTCTGAGTTCGTGTCTGAGGAAAGTGAGGAAAGTGATCCTGAGAAAACTGAGGTCGAGTCTGAGAAACGTGAACCAGCGAAAACTGAGAAACGTGATCCTGAGAAAACTGGGAAATTTAAAGGCATAAGGAAGTTCGCTAAGAAATTGAAAAGGATGAGGTGTTTACATATATGGTTTTCCATGAGTGGATTGATAGTGTCAATTCTCGTGTTATTTCTAGGAATTTTTACCGGGTATAACACATTGTGGGTTGATTTATTCGGGGATGCTTGTGATTTGTCGAGCGTAGGATGCTATTGAATTTACAATCGGAAACTTTTATTTCATTTCACCTTGAGTAAATTTGTATTTTTTATATTCTGCAGATTTTATATTATATTGTATATTAGTTGTCCCTATCTGCAATTCTAAAATAAATATACTTTTTTTTATTTAAGAATCTTGTGCGACAAATACAAAGCAACGTTGCATAATCAAATGATTCGCTGTGATCATCTTTATTTATAAATAGGAAATTGATAAAACTCAAACAATAGAATCGAAACAATGAAGGTGAGGTGCATTAAATCCACAAAAAAATGACATTGATCATCCCTGGGATAAAGAATATCCTTTGAAGCATATTAAAAAAAAAAAAAAAATCTCAAAGGTAATTCGTATTTGCTATTTGTGCTTTTTTTCATCTATGGTGCGAAAATTTAATTTTTTTTATTCATATGAAAATAAATTTCATTAAAAGAGTTTAATAAAATAAACATTTCTTGAAAATGTTAGTGTAACATAAAACTTCATTGACTTAGCAATATTTAGTTTGTTTAGTTTTATGGTTTTAAGGATAACGTTTATACAAAATTTATTTTACAAAAAGATATTAAATAATAGGATTATTTTTTGACTGACTACTCGAGACAACAAGATCAGCAATAAAAAAAAAAATTTTTAAATGAAAACTACGTTCATAGGTTTTTTTGATATTTGACTGCGACTTATTTGAAAAAGAAACGTTGAATTTTGATACTGAATTTAAAATAAATAGTACTGTAATTTATTCGAAGGGTATAAGGAAAACGCTACGATACGAATTTCCATATAAAATTATGCGTTGCTACGGCATAAGTAATGTATCATCTTTTTTGAAATCGTTTCAAAATACAAAGTCAAGCAATAAACAAGAAAAATTTGGCCATTTCCAATGTACATAATTTTCTATATTATTATTATTATTATTATTATTATTATTTTAAAAAAAAAAAAAGTACAACAAAAAATTATTAGAAATATGTTTCTCATTTTGCATTAAGAAATTTATGTAATTTGGCTTAAAAAAAATGATCCATAATTTAACACGTTTTGGTTAATAATTTATTGGTCAAGCTTTATGACCATATATATATTTTATTAATATCCTAAATAATATGTAAAGCACTATTTAAAAAGTTTTATTGCAAATTTGCAAATCATTTGTGTTAGTCTTAACAAAAAGGTTGATTAAAGGGGCTAGATAGAAAACCGGTACGGTACGATTCGCCAGACCAGTACGGTACGATTATGCAGATCAGTAATTTTTCGCGAAATTTGGATCGTACCGTACTGGTCCTATAATAATTATATAACCAATCCAGTACGATGATGGTATAGA